CTTTTTTTTTTTTTTTTTTTTTCCTCCCTCTTCTTCTTCTTTTTAAACCTAAAGGCCCTTACAAGAAGAAAACTCCCTGATAGGGTCTGGACATTTTTTTTTTTTTTTCCCTGATACGCTAAAATACAATAAGTTCCCTTTAAATCAGAGACGTCTGTGCTGAAAGAGCACAGGTTGTGACCTGACCTCCCTGTGGCTTTCCTAGGCACAGGGCTAACACATGCATATTCTGCGAGTCATTAGAACCCAGTTTTTTTTTTTTTCTCTTAAAAGAGGCTGCAGCAAACATTATATGCATCTACGTGCGTCTGCTTTACATCAGGGAGTGTTATTGGGGTGCTGCAGAAGCTGCATGCATCACCCTATTATTTTTTTTTTGTTGCATGCTATCTCCCCCAGAATCAGATAACAAGAAACGTTTATCTAGTTGGGAGGCAATTTACACGCCAGGCCTCACATTTTGAAAATAGCAATAAATTAAACAGTTACGACAGGATCGGACGATTGTTTTCACAGAAGGCTAAAAAAAAAAAAAAAAAGTGATTTGGGAGAAAAGGCAGGATTGGAAATAAACTCCTCGGTGTGGGTGTGAGCTGGCCAGGGGCTGGGGAGGGATGTGAGCGTGTGTGGGATCCTCGCCGAGCGTTTGAGCGAGGGTGAGGAAAACGCATCCTAGAAAATGATGGAAAAATAAAATAAGCACCCCACGTACACCCCTTCCCACTCGGGATCCCTGTCTCCTTGTGGCAAGATGCGCCCTGCTCATTGATCACCTTAGGACTTTAGCACGAGTAATTTGGGGGGGGGGAGGAGGAGGAAAAAAAAAAAAAAGAGAAGTTTTTTATGTGTAAAGCAATAATATATAAAAGGAAGTTTAGGTCATGACCCAGAACCTGGACAAAGTCCAGAAAATGACTTCGTTCCCCAGACCCCCTTTAACACAACAAGGAACGGATTGTGAGCCCTTCTTTTCCCACATAAACTACATTTTTTTCCTGTTTCCTGATATCAGGCTTTAAAAAACTCCGATGAGTAATTATTTTACAGGTCCTGCTTCCATTCATATGTTTATCGCGTGGCCACTTTCCCAAGCTTTCAAATGAGTTGCAGAAGAAACATATGTATTTTTAAACTTAATCCCCAAAACTTCCAGGGCTCCAGCACGTTGGGTTGCCGGTGCAGCCTTAAAGTTAGCAATCTGAGATAACGTATTGCACAAATTAGCGAGCAGATTTTTTTTTTTCATTAAAAAAAAAAAAATTTAGCCTCCAGAGTTAATATCAGGTTTATTACTCACCCAGGTTAAACTCTAGTGCAAGCTAATTAGATTTCACAACTCACTCAATTATTGCTTTATAACTCATGCACTATTTCTAGGCAGCAAAAGTTGACACATATTTCCCCCCCCCCCCCAGCTTTGATTATCTAAGAAACACCTCGAGGTCTTTTCCTCGGGAGAGGCACCGTTGTGCCACCCCGGAATTACACTGCGGAGCGGCAGCTTCAGTCTCCTCTTACTTTTTCATACTATCCCTGTCTACTTATGGTAATGATCTTTTCGCACCCGCTACTCGCTTTGGACTATGCAGTTCCTGCTGGGTACAAATGCAAACTTTTCCCCTTAGCTTAAATGACACAGAACTGCTCACTGCCACGTTCTGTTTAAACCAGAGACAGCTCTTTGGAAAGTTGATTTATTTTATTTTATGGGATGGCAGGGAACATATTTTAAACTCAGCTTTGCGCATTTAACTTTTTTTTTTTTTTAATTCAATTTTTAATCCTGCAGGGCTTTTTTCCCTTCCTGGCTGCCCATAAAATGATCCTCTTTTTAAAGTGGTTTCACTGATAGGACGACTTGTATTTAACAACATCAAACAGATTTTGCTGCTGTTCGGATGCGTGTCATTAAATGCAACAACCCAGAGCTATACTGTTAAATAAAATATTATTTTCAATGGGAAAAGCGCAGTCTCCCGTGGCAAATGGGTGCCTCTCCCCGAGCCCCTTCTTCTTCCGTCCCCAGCATTATTCAGCTAGGGTTGGGGTGTGTTTTGGTTGTCTTGGGTTTTTTTGGGGTGTGTGTATTTTATTTCCTTTTTTTTCTTTTTTTTTTAATTTTGCACTCCCTCAGAAGTGGGATGCTCACATCAGAGGCCCTGAAGGGCAGACCACAGGGCACCGTAAAAGGAAAGAGATCGCGCTGGTTCTCGAGGGGCAGGGAGCGGTGATGGGGTGCAGGCAGTAACACTTTCTACGAGCAAACAGTTCTGGGGGTGGGGGGCAGGGGAAGGAAAAAGGAAGAGCAAAGAAATGCTGCCTACCTGAGGTGAAGAGGACTATGGCCTTTAAACAGCTATATTCTGCAGAGTCGACATGCAACGCTTTCAGTTTTTCTACTTGCTCTTGGAAGATTCGTATGTGGTCCATAAAGGCGACCACTCGGTCAGCGGACATTGGCGAAGCGTGGAGGCCGGCAGCTGCCAGGAGCGGAGCTACGTGGAGGGGCATGGAGCACTGGGCAGCGTTGAGGACAAACAACTCGCTCCAGGTCAGCCTCAGAAGGGCCACCTGGTCTGTGATCTGGAGGTCTGGGAAGAAGGGGATATTCCTGGCCCACTCCACCGCGCTGAAGAGCATCCTAGCTGCCAGTTCACAAATGTTCTCGATGCCCATGATGTTGTTGGGTTGCATGCACTGACTGCCAAAGCGGGAGGTGGGGTAGGGCTCTGCTCTCAGAAGAAGGGAGATATATCCGGATAGGTAGGAATGGCAGTTGAGAGGGTCCCCGTTTGTCAAGGCGAACTGACCATGAGTTGGCTGTGTGGGTGGCATTCTGCCCCTCTGGACCGCTGCAGTAAATAAAGAAGAAACTACAGCTATTAATATCTGAATTGCGACCATCGGTTCCAATACAGCCTGCTTTGTGTGCTCCTGCGTGCGTGTGTGACACCGTACCAAGTCAGCTTAAGGGGGAACAGGCTTTTCCCCCCACTCCCCCCCACCCAACCAGAGTTCAGCCCGTACCCGCTTCCAAGGCTCCGCAGTTCCCGGGTCAAGCCAAAGCAACAATACGAGCCGAGCAATGCTGTCCGCTCGGCCAGGACTGCCTGCAGGAGCCCGAGAGCCTCACTTCCCCAAACACACCGCAATTCAGTTATTTCCCCCACCCCCCCACCCCTCCTCGGAGAGATGCAGGGTACGTCTTTGTGTGCCCGGGTATTTTTCTTCATTACACCTAAAACAGCTTATTGATTTGAGGCTGGGGGAGCAGGATGGGGAGGGAGGGCAAGGGGGAGAGGGAAGAAACACTTCACAATCCCCGGCGCTGGTCCCACACACGTTTCTCACCCACCAAATATATTGTTGCTGCTGTTGTTACACATTCCACCCCCCCTTCCCCTTAATACAAAAATATCAAAGGAGGCGAGATCACCCCGCAACATCCCCGGCAGGTCCCCCGGCGAGGCTGGGGGCATTATCCAAAGGCACCTTCCTCCGCTGCCCGTGGAAAGTGGGCCTTTCATTTTGTTAATAAATTTACACGGTGACAGCGAGAGAAAAAGGAGAGAGAAAAAGGGCTCAGAGGCAGAGCGACGGCAAGAAGGGAGAACGCCTAAAAACGTGCTTGATTTATATTTGTTATCGCACGTATGACAGGGTTAGTTACTCTTGCAGAAACACAAAGAGAGGAGCCCAGCAAGTCCCAAGCCCCCTAACCCTTAACCTAGATAGCGGCGTCCAGACACAGAGCACGCACTGGAAAACTGCAGGCTCACATTTCTCGTCTAATTTTATATCACAAAGACTCGACTTGCAGAGACCCGAGCACCCCACACTTACTTCTGGGTTACTCCTTCCCTCCACCCCCTTCCCCCCGGCCCTTCTACCCCCCTCCTGCCTCTCCCGGAGGGACAAGAAAATAGGAGGAAGAAGAGAAAAGTGAGATAATAACAATCAGGAAAGGCAGGCACACGGCAAAATATATATATATATACACACACGCGTGCGGATACGTGTGTGTGTGTATATATTTTTAAAGGAGGAAAAATCCGGATGGGAATCCACAGTGGAGTGCTGTGGAGCCTGGGTAGGGTGAGTCCCATTGTAATAGTAATTTGAACCGCCTGTGTAAAATTGCAATCTAAGGCAGAGTGCTGGAGGATATATATATATGTGTGTGTGCATCTCGTGAGGCTCCGTGTGTGTGTACACACAGGCACAGACACACACACACACACGCAGAGATGCTGGGGGACAGGGGGGTAAGGCTGAACATGCAGGAGGGAGCATGGAAGGAAAAGTAACCGGACGTCAGAATCATCATCATCTCGCTCCTAAGCAGCGTGAAACTAAAAATCCACTTCCAATAAACCTCCATCAGCAAAATCAAAACAAACACAAATCAATTACGAGTGTAGGAGAAAGCATGCAAGAGCCCCTGCCTCCCCTACCCACCCCCTTCAACACCTCTTTCTTTCCTTACGAGAAAGTTTCTGTCTGTTTATTAGGGGGGTGGGAGGGAGGGGAGGGGGTTGTGGGAGGAAAAGTTCTGGTTGGGTTTGGGGTTTGGGGAAAGAGGTTAAAAATAATAAGAATAATTAAAAAAAAAAAGAAAAAAGTTAAACAAAGCCAAAACCCAAAACGCAGCGAGTGAAAAAAAAAATTGCAAAACAAATGAAATCCCAATACCTTCCCGTCTCATGCCAACTTTGAGGCATTTTTTGAGGCGGCAGTACTGACACTGATTGCGGTGGTGCTGGTCAATGGGACAGTTCCTGTTGGCACGACAAGTGTAGCTGAGATTCCTCCTTACACTCCGCTTGAAGAAACTCTTGCAACCCTCGCAGGTAAACTGGCCATAATGTTTGCCACTAGACTTGTCCCCACAAACCACACATTCAATGTGCTGCTGCTGCTGCTGTTTGTCTCCTTGGTTCTGTTGGCTTGGCGGGTTGGTCTGGGCTGGCGTACTGGGGGGGCCCCCGGGCCCCGGGGTCTGTGGGGTGTGCGGGGCCCCGGCCGGAGGTCCCTGCACCGGCGGGGCTTGCGAAGGCTGCGTTCCCTGAGCTCCGGGCACATCGTCCTGGGGGTCTCGCCACGCACCGACTACCATTGCCATATCTATTGGACACCGTTGCCAAACTTCCTGTTCCCCCTTTATTTTCAAAGTTTGTTTGCTTTGCTTTTCAGATCAGCTTTGCAGCAGTCTTTTTTTTTTTTCCCCTCCCCTC